ATACTCAAGTAAATGTACTTAGTTACTGTCCGCCTCTGCCTGTAGATGTTTGTGATTCATCACTGAATATCACTTTCATCCAATCATCCACACTCCATGACTGCTTCTCTTTAGCGAACTCTAACCTTATTTTCTTCTGTTTAGGTGTTAATGCTGGTTTTCATTTGGTTTTTCTATATGTAAATCCCATTTCATTCAGATGGTTTCTTACAGTTCTGTTTTGTTTACGCCCATTTGTTTCGTTGAGCATTTTCATCCTTGGTCTGTTTGTATGTTTTCATTTTATAATCCTTCCATTTTGTTTATGCTTACACCAAATTTTAGAAACAGCTGACTGGGAACATCCATCTTCTTTTGCCACACTCCGTGTTGGATTTCCCTCTTGAAGGAGTTTTATAATCCTTTCTATCATTTCAACTGACAGCTCTCCTGTTGGAGCCATGTTTCTTTTCAATTAGCCAAGTCCAACTGCTCGTTAGGGTCTGGAAGCACTCTCTTTTAACTGCTGACTAATTAGCATTTTAGATACGTGCTGGTATTTGTTCAGAAATGCAAATTACTAGCTGATTCCATAATTTTTTTTCTCTACATTGAATGATTCCATATTTTTTCCCCCTCTACTTGATATGGAAAATAATTTTCCATTGATTAAAATATCTTAATTTAATTTGTTTGAGGTATGTTTTACATAACCAGAGTGTTGAATAATTAAACAAAAATTGTTTTGTGACATATCTGTGATTTGTTTATTTGTTATAAAGTAAAAAATTTGGGTTAGGTTGTGACAACTTCAAACTGAAATTTGAATGCACTCATTTTATTTATGATCTGTAGAGTAAAAGCACACACGTATACATTTTCACACCACTAATCATGTATATTTTTGTCCCACTGCCCCATATGTTATTTATAATTAACTGTTAATTTCTTCTTCAGGTGAGTCTAGTGATGATACAGATGAAGTGTCAGTGATGGAGGGAGATTCAGTCATTCTACACACTGGTGTTGACACAAACAAACAAGATAGAATGACATGGTATTTTAATAAAATTCGTATAGCTCAAATCACTGGAGATCAGAATAAGATCTGTACAGATGTTCAGTGTCCCCAGAGATTCAGACACAAACTGAATATGACAGACAGATCTCTTATGATCACAAACATCAACACCACAGATGCTGGAGTTTATAAAGCAGAGATCACCAGCCGTAATATCGCAAAGACCTTCAGTGTTACTGTCCATGGTGAGTCATTTAGTGTTTTAAAACAAGGTTATGTATAAGTCACATTAATGTGTTTATTATGTTTATCATAGAAGTGAAATTTTCTTGTGCAACCATAAATTTTATAGGTCACTCATGCTGCTTTAAAAACACATTTGCTGTTCAAGTGGAATTGTCAAATTCAGTTAACATCATTAAGAATAAGATACTGTACATCAAGTACAATAAGATTGCAAACCAAAATTTATTTTGGTGAGCTGTTAGTTTTAGTTCATAATAAGCTGCAATTTTCTGTTCTGGTGGAGATGACATTTTCTCACCCAACCATTACCTTTTATTGTCATCTGTTTGATTGATGATTTGGTTTAAAATAAGGCTGTAAAATGTCTTTATGAGTGAAAAAAAAAAACACTTGAATAAATGTTGCTTTTCAGACTGATAATCAACAAAGAATATGTAATCACATTGTTAGTTGTTTTTTTCTTTCATTCATTCTTTCTTTCTTTTTTTTAATCAAAAATATCCTTCAATCAGCTGTTGGTTTGCATTTCAGGTGTTTCTGCTGCTGAACGAGATGAAATGAAGAGAAAATTAGTGAAGGAGGGAGAATCTGTCACTTTACTTCCTGGTGTAATAAAAACAAATGATACGATCACGTGGTATTTTAATGACACTCGTATAGACATTAATAGCTGTACAGATGTTCATTGTGTTGCTGATAAGGAATTCAGAGACAGACTGCAGCTGGATAATCAGGCTGGATCTCTGACCATCACAAACATCAGAACCACAGACTCTGGACTCTATCAACTACAGATCAATAGCAGCAGAATCTGCACCATAAAGACATTCAGTGTTGCTGTCATTAGTAAGTATTATTTAGTCATTCTACTGAATGACTAATTCATTGAATTTCCCTTTCAGTTATTTATTTACTTCAATGACTATTTCCTTTGAAAAATTTGAATACAGTTTAATAATTGTATTTTAAATAAATACATTGTTCTGTATAATTTTGTTTTCTTAGCTATTATTTTGTATTTATTTACTGTATTGTTAACTGTTTAAACTTTGCTTTTAAATTGTCTTCCTTTTGTTTCTGGATTTTAAATGCACCTCTGGGTTGTCACGAGTAATTTTGTTGTTACACAATGACAATAAAGTGCTTGAACTAGAACTTAATGGACTGTTCCTCAAGAACCCAAAAGATGGCAGAATGTATTAGTTAAACTTACTATCATACAACTGTTGACCAAAGTATAAATGTGTAAATATCAGACAAAAATTTTGTTAAAGCTGATTATCAGTCCCTGATTAAATATTGATGACTGTCTTGTCTTCATCTGTTTCGGATTCAGGACTGTCTTCAGCTGCTGTAGCAAGAAAACATTATGGTGCTGCTGCTGCTGTTCTGCTGTATGTTGCTGCTGCTGTTTGTATGATTTACTATCGCAAGCATCAGAAATTATGAAATGGTGAGTATTACATACAGATGGTTTAACAGAATTGAAAATAAGAGATTTATTGTGTGAAAATAGTTTGAAAATGTTAAACTATAAAAAAAAATTTCATGATTCTTTAATGAATAAAAAGACCAAAAGAACAGCATTTGGCTCAAATATAAATATTTTGTAACATTTTAAATGTCTTTACTGTCGCTTCTGATTAATGTATGCATTGCTGAATAAAAGTATTCTTTCCAAAAAAGACAAAAAAAAAATACTTACAAAAGTTTTGAATGTAGTGTGTAGTGTTACACAAGCTCTGTATTTCAGATAAATGCTCTTCTTTTGAACTTTCTATTCATTAAAGAATCATGCAAAAACTGCACACAACTGTTTTCAACATTAATAATAATATTTCTTGAGCAGCAAATCAGCATATCAGAATGATTTCTGAAAGATCATGTGACACTGAAGACTGGAGTAATGATGCTGAAAATTCAGCTTTGATCACAGGAATAAATTACATTTTACAATACATTCACATAGAAAACCATTATTTTAAATTGTAATAATATTTCACAATTTTTACTTTATTTTTGATCAAATAAACATAAATAAATCTGCTTGGTGAGCAGAATAGACTTTTTTTTTTTTTAACTATACGCGTTCTCTAGTCTGTAGTGTTTTGTGTTTGTGTAAGTGAAACTTCAATCTTTTACTGTTTCTTTTACTCTCTGTGAATCTGTTTTCACAGGTGGATCAAGTTTTAGACTTGCCCCCTACTTTGACTCCCACTCTTTTGAAGAAGGCTCTTAATGGGATGTTCCCTAATCAGACTGATGCTACCAGTGAGATGTCAGTGTAACATACTTTTTTTTCAAAGGAAGCAATAAAGTGTTGATGGGAAAAGAGAGAAGAGCATCAGTGAAACACCGATCACTCATAGAAATAGTGTCATGATAAGATTTCTGTAGTTGGTACCAATAATAGATTGATATCACCTTGATATCTTGATGACACTATTAACACTCTATGCTTGCATGACACTGCAAGATTACTTTAAACTGATCTTTTCAGCAGGAATCCTTGAGAAATGAAACATTTCACTGTCCACATTGAAGATTTGTGGTTTTGACAAAATGTTGAAATCCTGCAACATTAATTCTTGAAATGTCACCATTATGTCCTTGATTTAGACTCTGAATTGTGAAATGTAAACTCGCAATTGTGAGAAAAAAGTCAGAATAGCGAGTTTGTATCTCGCAATTCTGACTTTAGAACTTGCAATTGCGTGTTTATATCACTTAATTCCGAGAAAAAAAGGCAGAATTTGCAAGATGTAAACTCGCAATTGCGAGAAAAATTAGAATTGTGAGATTAAACTCGCAATTCCTTTTTTTTTTTTTTTTTTTTCTTTTTTTAAATCAGTGGCGGAAATATGTACTTGTGTATATGTGTGCGTTACACAAATAATCTGTATGAAGGTCTCTTCAGGGGTCGGACAAAGTGCTGTGAGCTATGGCTGGCCAGTATATAGATTTTATAAAAAGTATCTTATTTAATACATCAGGCTTTTATGATTCATGTTGTATGATATAATGAGAATATGGAGCTCATATTAGAGGAGGAAAAAAATACCTCAGTGTCATTCATAGACCCAAACTGAGAGAAAAAAAAAAAAGTAATTTGGTGCAGATGCTTATGTTTATATGACCAAAAAAGTAAGATGAGATTCTGAAGGCTTGAAATGTAAATCCATGACACCTCTATAACAGTATAGCAGACTACTTGCATAAAATAAAATGAATCTCAGTTATCATTCTATATCTTCCAATAATGTCTTTAAGATGATGATGATATTTAAAAGCTTTGTTTGGTGATTAAAACATATAATGAACATATAATGATGATTGAGAGAAACAAATGTTTGTCAAATGCCTGATGATCATATGTGATACATTTTAACAGCATTATTGTATGTGGATAATTAACAATATAAAAGTCATTATGTTTAGTTTTTAAAAATCAGTAACGATTTGACCGCAAAAATACTTGAAGCACAAGCTGAAGGTGGACTTTTACAATTACACTAAAATACCTTTTACTTGCTTAAAAAAAAGTATAAACTATCGATCAGATGACAGAAGACACGGAGTAGATTGTACGCAACATGTTTTTAGCAAAGTTTTGATAATTCACATGCCTTAAGTGCAGGTTAATAAGGTTAATAACTGTGCTGTGGATAGAAACTGAAT